CACCCCCCACCCCCCTCCCCGTTCAGCTCGTTGATGCCGTGAGGTGGGCTTAGTGGACGGCTGCCGGAGTGTGATGCTCCTTAGGACAGTCCTCTGTCCTTTTGTAGCCTTGTGCTCTTGCTACTGTCCTCTCAAATTTTGCTGAACAACATTTCCTTTTCCTTCTGTTTCATTTTTCTCCCCCCTCTTCTCCTATCTGCTTGTCGTTTCCTGCCGACCTTTTGCATGTTTTGGTTATTCTTTTGAACTTCTTCTATTTTTGACGCTCGGGTGCTTGACAAGGCAAACTCTTGCACCCGTAGAACTGTAGTACCCAACGTCGAGAGCAAGGGGAACCTTTTATTGTCAATCCCCCTTTCGTCACTGAACCCAATCTCGACGGACTGACGGTTCTTAAGGTGGCGTTTGTGGGGCATATACTCACAACGCACCCCTAGGAGGCCCCAGCATGATCGGCGATAGCATCTTGTTGGGTGTCCTGCCTCTAATTGTGGCTCCATGGTGGGTGTGGGGGCACATTCGTGAATGAATGTTTATGGTTCGTACCTATGTTGTGTTCTGTTCCTCCTTTACCTTCTCAGGCTCGTGGGGTGGGCGACCATGCCCCCGAGTCGGTCCGTGTTGGAAGACCAGGCTCTGTGACCTCCGCTGCATTGGGCCCCGACCTTGCTCCTCCTTTGGCCTCTCTGACTACTCCCCTCGGCTTCCCTCCCTCCTCTGTGGTTGGGTCGAGCCCCAAGCCCCCAGTGGTGACTACCTCTTTCCCTGGCACGGCTCCATCTCTAGTTGTAACTACTGCGCCTTTTAACCCCTCTCTCTCTGGGGGTTCTCAACGCCGTCTTCGACACGGCCGCACTCGCTCGATTCTTTCCCGTTCTGATGCCTATCAAGCCTTGTTTGGTCCCGCTTCGTGGGCCTAATACTTTGATCTCCTCCCTTTTGATTCTGTGCCTCCTGACGATTTCTCCCTCCATCAACATCTTGTTGATTCCCTGGATGCCTGTTACCTTCAACCCTACTCGTCTCGGTACACGTGTCGTTGCTGCTCCTTCTCAGGATGCAGCTTCCCGCTTGGCTGCCTTATCCTGCCTTGGCGAGACCCCTGTTCAGGTCTCAAAGAACGCTCAGTTGAATGCCAGTGTTGGCACTATTCTCCTCCCGCCCTATGTTGCGACCGGTGTTCGGAATCTGCAGGACTGCCACGATGATATTCGGCATATCCTCGATGCCCAGGGCCATTCTGTCCTCCGGGTTGACACGTTTACTCGTTCCCCTCGTGGTCGTCACCGTCAACCCCTTTGGGTTGTGAAGATTAATTACCTTTGATGGTAGGACCCTTCCACCCTCTGTCATTCTTGCTGGTGCCAGGTGCTCTGTCCAGGAGTACATTCCTTCTCCTAGGCTCTGTAACAAGTGCTGGAGGTTTGGGCATAGTGCCCTCCGCTGCTCTGGGACTGTCTCTCTCTGTCCTTTGTGTGGGGGCGAAGGTCATTCTAAGTCGGAGTGCACTTCTTCCCAGGTTCGCTGCCTCAACTGCGGTGAGGCCCATCCTACCTCCTTCCGTGCGTGTATCTATTACAAGCTGGAGGCAGCCGTCCTCACCTTGAAGCACCGGGAGCATTTATCTTTTCCTGAGGCGAGGCGCCAGGTTCGCCGGCTCCCACCTTATGCTAACGTCTCTTATGCTCGCATGTTACGCTCTTCCTCTCCTCGTCCTTCCCACCTTCCTCAGACTCACAACCTTTTCCGGGCCTTGAACTTTGATATGCCCACTGCCCCCTCCTCTGTTCCTTTGAGTTCTGTCCCAAAGGGTCCCCCTCCTGGTCCTGTCTGGGGTTCCCCTTCTTTCTACCTGGTCTGTCATGTCTCCTGTGTCTTCTTCCTCGTCTCCCTCCGATCCTCCTTCCCATCCTTCTCCTCCGTTTATTGACTCTCCCCGCCGCCTGTCGGTGCGGGCTGATGTCCATCACTCTCCTAACGGACGTCGTGTGTGCTCTCGGTCAGCTTCTGTTGAGACGCTGGAATCCGTTGCCCGGTACATAGTTGCTGGGACACCGGTCTCTTTAAGTCACCGGTCTCTTTAAGTCTACTGTCTTCGCTATCTTGCGCGGTCCTTACAACATCCTTCCTCTCGCATCTGTCGTGCTTTAACTTTTACCCCTCCTGCAGTTCCTGTTCCTCTTCACAACCTCCTTCTTTCTGTCCGGTTATCTCGCTTACAGGATTCTCTTTCCGTTCGTATTTCTAATGTTTCTCCTCGTGTTGTTCCTTCTTTGCCCCCGTGGAGAGTCCCCCTTCCGCAGTTTTGTACTTCCTTGACCCGCATCACTAAAGCTTTTACCCCTCCTACGGTTCTAAAATGCCTTTTCCTTGAAACCTTTTCTTCTCACTCCTGCTCCGTTTCTGTCTTCACCGATGGGTGAGAGTCTGCGGATGGTGTTGGCTACTCTGTTGTTTTTCCTGATCGCACTTATATGTGTCGCTTACCTCCGGAGACTAGCGTCTTCACAGCGGAGCGCTTTATGCTATTCTCTATGCTCTTCGTCTCCTGCTTTCTCGTTGTCAGTCTTCCTTTGTAGTTGTTGTTGACTCTCGTAGTGTCCTTATGGCTCTCGGGTCCGTTAATCCGGTTCATCCAGTAGTTGTCGAGATCCAGTATTGGCTGTTTCTTGTTCACAGTAAATTTAAGTCGGTTGAGTTTTTTTGGGTTCCCAGCCATATTGGTGTGTCTTTAAATGAGCGTGCGGATGCTGCCGCCAAGGAAGCTGTCCGCTCTTGTCCCATCTCTCGTAAAGGTATTCCATATTCCGACTTTTACCCGGTTATCCATTCCTCCATCCTTACCCGTTGGCAGGCTTCTTGGTCGTCTGTTACTGGTAACAAACTACGTACTCTTAAATGTTGTGTTTCCTCGTGGCCGTCCTCCTACCACCGTAACCGGCGATGGGAAACGGCTCTGGCGAGGTTGCGTATTGGCCATACTCACTTAACCCATGGTCACTTGATGGAGCGCCGCCCTGCTCCTTATTGTCCTAATTGCATTGTCCCTCTTATGGTCGTGCATGTCCTTCTTGAATGTCCTGACTTCCAGGACGAGCATGTGTCTTGCTTTCCGACCGCCCCTCGCAGTCACCTGTCCCTCAATAAAATTCTTGGTGACTCGGATACTTTTGATATCGTTCGCCTTATGCGTTTTTGTTCTCGTATTGGCATCCTTGGTGATATTTAGCGCCCTCTGATTATTCCGCACATTTGATGGTGCTACATAGCCTTCCCGGTTTGGTGCCTTCTTTTGATAATTACTTACTTAGTGATGATAGTAACCAAGTCACCTGGTCATTTTTATCAGTCAGGGGGTCTTTTCTAATACTATCATCACTAAATAATAGCAGTTACATATATATTTTGACATTTTTAGGTGATGCTGCGGTCACAAGCTGAACAGCAGTGCTGTTAGCTCGTGCTGCATGCACTAACCTTGGTTAAGTGATATACTGGACATACCAGTACGTGATATACTGGACGTATAAAATTAATGACAAATTACATTATCAAATAAACTTTGGTATGTAGCAAAGACATTGCTATGTAGCAAACCGGGAGCTGGTCGGCCGAGCGGACAGCACGCTGGACTTGTGATCCTGTGGTCCCGGGTTCGATCCTGGGCGCCTGCAAGAAACAATGGACAAAGTTTCTTTCACCCTATGCCCCTGTTATCTAGCAGTAAAATAGGTACCTGGGTGTTAGCTGTCACGGGCTGCTTCCTGGGGGTGGAGGCCTGGCCAAGGACCAGGCCGCGGGAACACTAAAGCCCCAAAATCATCTCAAGATAACCTCAAGACGTATCCTTATTTAATTTTATACAAATAGCAATGCATTGTTTCCATGGGGTCTGTAATTCTGTTTTTTTGGATTTCCATGAAACTTCCCTGCTTTGAGGTTGTAGCCCCACCACTAAGCATGCAAAAAGAAAATTAAGCGATATCTACTCCTGCAGTAGATTATCCCACCCTGTTTCCTTTTGGGTTACAAATGTCAAAACTTAGGCTGGATCATTTTATAGGCTAGCTTGTTAATTTTCTATGAATCTGGTTTTTTCATTATTACCCATAATGAATGAATGATTTGGGCCCCTAAAGTGTTGTGTTGATGCTAAAACCAAGTTTATCATGATAGATTATTGAGGACTTGTTACAGGATTAGCTACATTTGAGATGTCCAATGCTTCATGTAGATGCCATTCTTAATACAGTATACAAGTGGTCACCTGATACAGTACTAGTAATGCTCTTCTTAATTGGTCCATACTGACATTTTAAGTCAATCTGCCATTTAGTAAATTTTATGGATAGTGAGACTGCGCAAGTCCATTCTTTACTACCAAAATAATTTAGTCAATCGGTAAAGTTTTCCAAACCTCAGCCACCTAAATGTCCTTTCTAAGTTGATTATTGGCAGCAAGACCTAGAATCTTTCCAGTATTGCTCATATTTATGGCAAGATTTTCCTAGGATAGAGACTAGTACAATTTCAGACACTGCAGCCCGTTCTCCAAACAAAGACCCAAAAGTAATTCCATGCACCCACCAAACCCCATTTATGAATGACAAATGGTTTACACAAGACTACTGATTTCGTTCGAACACTTCCGGAACAAGTGCTTTGCTGAAGACTTGTTCGAACTACGTTATAAATGCTTCGCCCACGTACTATAAATACAAATAATCGCCAACAGAACCTAAACACCTAACCTATGCCTAAATATTATAATAGCATATTGTGCATATAAAGATATTTGAGAGAATTCCCATTTTGAATGAACAGCATGTAAAAATTTATGAATGCGTCTGGGGTCGACCGCTGGATGTAATGGACTCGAGTCGAAGACGGGTTGAATGCTGATGCCTCAAAACATTTTCATTGGTGACTTTTCATTATTTTTTTGCTTAACATGTTGGCACTTATTAAACTGAAGATAAATTATGATTTTTACTTTTCAGTTTTGCAGGTTTACTGAAGACATGGTTGCCATTTGTGTGTATTGCTGGAGGAATTACTGCACTCATTTGTCTACTGTGAAGATTGATGTGCCTTGACTACAAATTTAAACTTTTCATTAGGTTATTTAGTTATCTTTAGTGTATTGAAGTTATAGAACTTTAATATTAATGAATTCATAAATTGTTCAACATTGAGAAACTGCATTTATGAAGTTATGATTAAAGGTGGTACTTTTAGTTTGAAAATCTTAAATTGCGATTGCAGTATGCTTTGAGGATGGACTTGTCTAAAGGATCTTTATATGCTATAAAATTAAGTTGTCCTATGGCTTTCCCATGGTCCAAACATTTCATAGCTTGAAATTATATTAAACTTATTTACGCAGATATAGAATATTTATTTAAGCAAAACTGTTTAAAATTAACCAGCCTCAAGATCTGCAAACCAGGCCCATCAACTTCCTCATGCCTAAAACACTCATAGGAACTTAATTTTGTAACCTAACTTAATATTAAAATAGTAAATCCAATTTCCATGAACATTTCTGCCACCTTCCTGTTGAAGATTCTAAGGATCAATGTCTCCACTGCCCAGTCTCTGGCCCACCCTCAGTTATTACACTATATACGCATTAAATATACATAGGTACCTACACATTTTGTTCACCATGGCTGTATAATTAACACTTTCGCACGCCCGGCGAAGGTAAAAAAAAAAAAAAGCGGTATGTGCGCGCGGCGTTTTTGCCGCGTAAGCATAAAAACAAAAATGTGTATACTCTCTTTACTCTCCTGACCTTAGTTCTCGAGCTACGTATTTCATTTTGGTACCAACGTGTTCGCAATAAAATTCTCTAGAAGAACATCAGTAAAAAGAGTCACGAAACGTATAGGGATACCAGCACCAAATAAATAACTACGAAGATGACTCGCCGTGAGCGCCCAACAGCAATTTGGGCGCCATGCAAAAAGTTTGCATGGCGTCAGCATAGGCAGGACCTGTGTCATTATTTATATCTGGAGCGTGCCGCAAGTGTCGAGATACTGTTGCTGTTTGAGGCCAATCTTCCGGGTCCCAGCACAATAGGGCCCAATTTGCCACCTTGTGGAACTGTAGCAATGTTAGCTTTTTTTGATCAGTTGTGTTGTATTTGTACAAAACAAAGGCATTATGCAAAGCCATTTGCAGGAAATAAAACGTTATCTTTTAGGTCCACTTGTGACTTTTCCTGGTAAAATGGCAATACCATTTGATCGAAGTGGTCCACACCTTTCATGAACTTATTGTACCATGCAGCCTAGTGGTGAGAAAGAGCCTCATGGCGCGCAGTTTGAAACAAACCCAGAGTAAATCGGATTAAAATTGAATTTTATACAAATATTTTTTTCAGGACATTTTATGTCCACAGCGCGGAAGCGGGTAGGCGAAACACGACTCCGGGCGGAGTCCTCATCCGCGCAAAGTGTTAAGCTGGTATGGTGTCCAAACAGCAACCACGAAATGAAACTGGTTGCTGGTTTCATTAAACCATATACCCACCTCTACATATATCCAATCAAATGCCCCATTACAAACCTAACTTTGGTTTACACGAGGCATTTACATTGCCCAGCTAGGGTGGCCACAAGGCTAACTGCTGTTGGCAGTCTTTTTTGCTACTCAATTTTATTCAGACCCCTCCAAAAAGAAGCCAACTGGTAGAGATATTTGGTCTAGTGGTAAAAGTTCAATTTGCCGAAATTTGTTTTTAAGAATCCGAAAGCCTTCCTGGCTTGCCATTTTTTTATAATTACTTTTAAGAAACCTTGATCCTACATCAACAATTTACATTTTATATAATTAAAGACTGAGAAACTATTGCTTGTAACCTTTGGTTACAGTTTCAATTATCTATTGGGGGTAATAGATCATGTGTCCATATACAAACTAAATAGCTCTTACATATATATATAGACTGGCATACAGTAACATGCTTGCCTTTCTTCAAAAGGAAAATATTAAAAATTACAATTTTGTATCATTTATTTAAGCCTGCAAATACAAATTGTGGTACTTTTATGTTGGTACAGTGAATTTAGACACCTTAAATTCTAGACTGATATGATCCATAAATTTAGTAGTGGTTTGAGCCACAACCAGTCATGAGATTCATCACATTAAACTGGCAATCTTAATTACAATCTTTCCCAAATGTGCAAAATTTAAAGGACAAACATTACACAAGTTAGTGCTTGTGGAACAAACTTTCCTACCTGTCTAGGAAAATTTGTCCTTCACAAATTTGAGCTACACGAGAACAACATCTTAGCATGCATAAAAATCACAATTTACACAAACTAAAATTTAAGTATTCACTAGTTAGGAATGTTCATTAATATAAGAAAGTGCTGGTTTAAATCTTGTCAGCTATCACTCAATATGACCAAACAAGTTACAGCATAACATGACAAGATGCAGACTTGGCATTGGCTCAAGTGCCCAATCAGATACAACTTTTTCCATAAGTTACTATATTTGGGTAAGGAAGAAACTTGGTTCAATGCACTAATAATGCACATTTAATCATTGCTATAATGAACCTTTTTATGTCCTCAAAACTAAACCAAATAATAATTACCTTTCCCAAATGCTTTAAATAAAACACTTGCCTCAAGTACTAACAAAAATGAACAAAATAATCAATGGTATTTGATAAAGTAAATAACCAGATGACTCTTAGATCTTAAAACTAAGGCACTTTTTCTTCATCTTAATCTGAACCAGTGAGTGCTACAATAGCAAAGCGGGATTCTTCAGGATCCCTGTCCATGAACTGACGGCAAACTTTGGCAGCATCCTGTAAAAGAATGTTCAAGTATTACATTAACAAATTTGAACTACAGTATAGTTATAAAATTTTACATCTTGCTTATTTGCCATCCTAAAGGTAATTTGATTGCAAAGTTCCTCTTCAGACTCAATTATTACAGCTTCAACTGCTTGGAAAGGGGGAACTAGTACAAATTAGCAACGGCAGATGGAATGACTAAAGAAATCCACATTTTTGTACCATTGGAATTATGAAGATAAGCAAATAATTATCAAAAGAATTACATGAGCCCAAAAGTGTTGGGCTCCTCCCAACACTTTTTGCTGTTATACACACACACACACACACACCTATATTTGTGTTCACCATAGCAATCACTAAGCTGGTATGGCAAGTCCAGACAACAGGAGGTTGCCACACAGCCAGCAGATAATGCCATCTTTCCTCCCCCATCAAGATTACTCCTCCCACTATACTCCCCCCACACCGATAATTCTCACCACAATGCTGCTATTATCAGAATCCTGTCACCAAATCCTGTAAATTCATTTTTCACAAGTATATTTAGTAAAGTAGCATGAGAAGTCTTTTGAAGATTCTTGGATGAACGAAACACTGGCAGTATGCTGTGGTTAGAACTGAACATATTTAACAGCACTGTGTTCACTGATATATGATCACTGATCACTGTGATCATATATCACTGATCACTGTGATCATATATGTATACAGTGATCAGTGATCATATATCAGTGAACACAGTGCTGTTAAATATGTTCAGTTCTAACCACAGCATACTGCCAGTGTTTCGTTCATCCAAGTCTATCACAGTCAGGCTCTTCTGTAATACTACCATGGCTAAATAATACCAGTTACATATATATTGACATTTTTAGGCAATGCTGTTAAGCTGAACAGCAATGCTATTAGCCTGTGCTGCATGCACTAGCCTTGGTTGCTCACTCGGTACCGAGGCTCTCACACCTTATGAAGATAAGCAAGTAATTATCAAAAGAATTACATGAGCCCAAAAGTGTTGGGCTCCTCCCACTCCTCCTCCCAAAACAGAAGAGTAAGGGGAGACATGATAACCACCTACAAAATTCTCAGGGGAATTTACCGGGTGGAAGAGCACGGGTGGGACACGAACAAGGGGACACAGGTGGAAACTTAGTACCCAGATGAGCCACAGAGACGTTAGAAAGAATTTTCAGTGTCGGTAGTTAATAAATGGAATGCTCTAGGAAGTGATGTGGTGGAGGCTAACTCCATACAGTTTCAAATGTAGATATGATAGAGCCCAGTAGGCTCAGGAATTCTGTACACCAGTTGAAAGGCGGGACCAAAGAGACAAAGCTCAACCTCAGCAAGCACAATTAGGCGAGTACCTGGGAATGTTACCCACTTTTTTTTTTTTTTTTTTTTTTTTTTTAAATTTTGTCCGTTTAGAAGAGCCTTGGGAAACATGATGTGGACCCCATGTAGCCATGGGACTTAAATCTTATGTGGTACTCCCAACCATATACTGTATAGCTGTGGTGCGCCATTCTGCAATACTCACTCACCCCAGCTATATATGTATTGCACCCTTTTTAAGGGTTAAAACTAAAATCTTCCAACATGATTATTCTTCAATCTTTTACATTGCTTATTTTTTCTTCAATTGTTCGGTTTGACTTGTCTGGTTTCTGCTTCGATATTTTTAATTTTCCATAGTGCAGTAATTGGAACTTTACATTTTCTGTGGCCTATTGAAAGACTATCAACATTGGATTGGAGTCAAGTCCTCTATATCATCTACCCAGGAAAATTCTATCTGCAAAATATACAGTACTAGTTTGTATCTTTGTCCACTTGGACCATCAGGAAATAAACACTAATCTGCAAGAAACAAGCTTGCCACTTTACAATAGTTCAAGTGGTTGGACAATACTAGGCCCAGTAAATTAGGCTTGGTTTCTGCCTTTTCTCTGGCCCTTTACAGAAACAGAACAGTTTAGTGCAAAAGTGCTTCGTATATTCCATCCATAGTTGCTATAGGTAGTGTAAACATTCATTATTGGGTTAAGCAGATTCATTGCTAGTGTTTTTGCTCAAGCAATCAAGACCCAGGTTATAAGAAATTTGGTGACAACCATCGGGTACTAGGATATAGAAAGTACGTGACTATTAAAAAGGTATAAATGAGGAAGTATACGAGTGTCAACATTACAAGACATTAGCAAAACCTACACACAATAAAGAGATTAGAGAAATCGGCAGGAAAATTAAAGGCAATTAAGGTCTAAAATCAGTTTGGGAGCATGGGGTAAATCAAGGAACAGAGAGAGGGTGAGACAGATCCCAGAATGATGGTGGGCATGTCCCTATGTCTATCTTAGGATATTGAGGGGGATAAGGATAAAGTACAATAGGCTAATCTGACCCCAATTACAATTTCAAACCTAGCACAATAAATGTAATGGTAAAAAGTAATCCCCCCCCCCCCCCCCCAAGTCTTAACACCAAACATGCTCAAGTTTGGAAAAATATACACACAGTGCAACAGTGTTAGTAAAACATGCATACTCTTTCTAAAGCAAAGAACATTTAAGGATGAAAATTTAACTCATATTATTAAAGATAATCTGCATGAAAATAATGCAGTTCTTTACTAAAAGAAACGTGCAACCCCTACTTGTAGAAGTGTGTCTGCAGATGTTGGTCCATGGTTAACTGGGAACTTCCTGCGACCATCTGTGAAGATACAATCATCATTATTGCAAGATGCCATTAAAATTCAGGAAACTACAATCACAGATCACATGTTATAGCAGTGTGCTATACAGTACCTGTATACCTTTACCCATATCTTGCTAGGTAAATAAAATTGTTATATTAGCACAAGGCCAGAAATTTATTCAGTATTGGTACAAGTACTATTATATAGGACACTTCATAATCTTGGAGGACATTTCTTTGTACCTCAACAAAATTGAATTCATCTTCCCTTTTATGATTAAATTACTTAAGGAGCCAATTTCATTTTACTACCGACATCCCTCTAGTCAAATTTCAATAGCAAATACAATTAATAAAAATTAAGGAAATGCTGGAAACCTGTTGGTCAATATTTTTCTATTAGAACCTTTATATCAAAATTTAAAGGGTAAACTGTAAACTTGTGTACACAATACCAAAATAACTACTTGACCACCAGAACACCAACATCAAATTTCAAGGTAAATTCAGTCATTATGAAATTGTGTATCCAACAAGGCCCTGCAAGTACTGTATATAGCCCACTGCAAACGTTCAAATAGTAGTGTAGCATGACAATTCCTTTGCAAAGATTAGTGTTAAACACTGTTCTGCTATTACACTACTACAGTAACAAATTAATGGAATTTCAGTCAAATTTAGCAGTGGAGGTGACTAACTTTAATCCAAGATTTCACATCCCTGGATAAACTCAAGTCTGGGTCGAGTCAAATGCACTAGAGATGCCATACTACACTCCTCTTCCTATAACAAGTCCTTTAGTCCAGTACACACCTTTAAATCATTATGCACAATTGGCTCTTGCTATTTGCAATAAATATTTAAGTAACACTTAAGTTTTCTACAGAAGATGCATTCTAGAAACCTCCAGGTTAACTATTCCATTATTTTCTCAACCCATCAAAATAATATTACCAAATACCCTATTCTTGCCACGTGTAGTCAAAAAGATTACTATATAAACATTACAGAACACCAGGTATCATGACAAGTATGATCCAAAATGGCACAATACAAAAAATTATGCAAATTTGTGTATTGAATCAAACATATTTAGAAGCTATGTATGACATACACTTATCTATATAAATCAAAATGGAAATGTTTGTTTGTGCATAACCGCTAATCTCAAAGTTCTTAAATTGCTTTGGAATTTTCACACAACGTTCCATTCGCATACGTTCAGGTTTTTATATACATACTATATAGATGTCACGTCTGACAAAAAAAAAAAAAAAAAGTTTTTTCTGAAAAACTGTGTTTTTCATGTGAGGGAAATCTTCGAAACCTCTTTACCGATTGCTTTGAAATTTTGACAACGTTGCATTTGAATAGGCGTGTTTTTTTATGTATCTACTATATACATGCCTCACCTGTGACAGGAAATTTTTTTTCTTTTTTTAAACAGTGCCATCTGTTGGACATAAGAGCAACACACGCTGTTATCTCCGAAAGCTCTTCACCGATTGCTTTGAAAGCTTGACACAATGTTGCATTCAAATAAGCGCGTCTTTTTATATACCTACTGTATCAACCCGTCCTCTTAAAAAGAACGTCACTTTTGGCTCGTATGCGCACTATGGCCAAATTTGGACGTAATTTGAAATGAAATCCAATCACAAAAGTGACGTTCTGTTCCGTTTTCTATTTGAGTCGTCCGGCCTACGCGCAGAGGTTATAAGAGGACACTTTAAATTAGCGTTTTTCATAACGTTTTGAAACTTTATGAGAATTTCCTGCCCACCTAACCTATCAGAGGACCCTTAACTTACTGTTGTTGAAAAAAAAAATCCCAAATTGATTTTCATATTTTTTTCAATTTCAAATTACGTCCAAATTCGGCCATACGGGCAAACGGCCAAAAGCGACGTTCTTTTTAAGAGGACAGGTTGACTGTATACATGCCACCCTTGTGACAGGTAAAAACATGCATTTTTGAAAAACAGCGCCATCTGTTGCATATAATAGCAACATGCATGCTATACTAAATGTCATGAATTCCATTTCAATGTTTCCAATTGCATTGATAAATTTTATTTTCATAGATTGATATATTTTATTTTTTAAATTTAATTATTTTGTGTGACATTGTGTTGGAATTGAGCTGTGTTGTTTACCATACCGATCATTTCATAAGTATGAGTATAGATGCCACACCTGTGACAGGTAAATCTATGCGTTTCTTGAAAAACAGCGCCATCTCTTGCATTTAAGAGCAACACACATGCTATACTAAATATGTTACAATTACATTTCAATGTTTCTGATTGCATTGATAAATTGAATTTTCATAGATTTTGATTTATTTTCATTTCGATTTAATTATTTTGCGTGAACTGTGTTGGAATTGAGCTGTGTTGTTTACCATACCGGTCATTTCGTGTGTATAGTTTATTTTCTTATTTTTTCATATTTTCATTTCATTTTTTAACTTTTTCTTATATTTCAGTGATGGGAACATCAGATCACTATGTTCCCAAATTTCTGGTGGGAACATCAGACCATTTGGGAAGGCATCAGACGAGGGAGTGGGGAATGGTGGGGATGACGAGGGGACGAGAAGTGAGAGATGGTGGGGAAGACGAGGGAGACAATGGAGAAGGTAATGGTGGGGAAGGATGAGGGGACGGGGGAGTTTGGGATGGTGGGGACGAGGGGATGGTGTGAATGGAGAATGGTGGGGGAGGACAAAGGAAAAGAAGTGGGGCATGGTGAGAAGGAAGAGGGGATGGTGGAGTGGGGAATGGTTGGGAGGCCAAGGAGATGAGTGAGGACTGAATGGTGGGGAGGACGCGTTGCTGAGCCACAGCAACACGTGGCCGGGTACTGCTAAAATACAATAAATTTTGAAAGTGCCAAATACAGATCAAGAGCTAAGGGGAAAAAAAAAAAAACTACAGTGCTGACCAACTAACTGTAGCAACCAATTGGTTGCATCTCCCTGCAACCAATTAGTGGTGGTTGAAGAGGGAAGGTTAGATTAACCACATGAAACAATACAAGGTATAACCTAAAGATGATGTTGCCAAAGAGTAAAATAGGCATGTGTTGAGCTGAAAATATTTTTAACACTTCTGGTGGGCAGGTATGCTTCTTGCTTCCAAAATTAAAACAATTGTTAAAATTCCATTGTTTTTAGCTCATTATGGAACTAGTTTTAAAATGTGTGCCTTTAGATTGCAAACAATTTGATACCAAAATGAACAACAGCACAAAAATTGAGATGAAAAACCTGAAAAAAAATTACATATTTTAGTGTGGGTGTGTGCTCACGGGAAACGCCAGGCCGACCTTGGGGTGGGCTGGGGTGCACACGCCAGGCCGTGCAAAGTCATGGGAGGGAGGGAGGGTATCCCTGTGAAAAATTAAAATAATTACCCTACTTTTGGAATACAAATCTAGCAGTCCAAGATATACAATGTGGGAAAATATTTGAGTATTACAATATAGGAAGACCAGCATCTCAAATTATAGCATTATTAATCTTTCCCTATAATGGCATCATTCCGAGGAATTTCCTTCTCATCTCATGAAATTTGGGAAATAATAACTAGCAAATGATACCAAATATAATTATCAGGAGAAAACCTAAAGTCATTATGAGTATATACCACTTTGACGGTCAGGAACTGAATTCCAACCTGTAGGAAGAGAGACTGTTCTTGTAGACTGGATGGTAGAGCCACAATCAAAATATCCCAAGGTGAGCACACCGACAAACAAGGTGCTGTACAAGAGTATTCAGCCACTTCAATGTTGACAAATGTCATCGAGGCGTGTACTGCGTAGGGATAAATAATAGGAATCTGAAAATTCTGCTTCAATAGGTGCGAAGAAGCAAAAGGTCAGGCCAGAAAAGGTTGGAACGAAAGAAACAGAAGAGCCATGAACACAATGCACTACTAACCCCAGCACTACACCATTTTATAGCTTCCCAATCCGCAGGAAAACTATCAAAACTTTTTTCCTTCTAATATTCTTAAAATGAGTTCTCTAATTAAAAGGGAACAAATATAATGTACAGTATGTGACTTGGGTTGTGGTGAAGCCCAGAAGTCGGGCAATTCACTAGTGTTCATGCATTATTTACCTCATTGTAAATCCACAAAGGGCTGGGAGTTGCCAGGAACACTTACATTTTCAATTTTTTGGTTTTCTAGTTATAATCAATAGCATGCCATCCAAGACATTTATACAAGTGTGGAATGCCAGAATGTTCAAATACATGTCACTAATATGTACACAATTACATGAATAACAGTCTTTGCTGTTATTACACCATGCACAACATTTTAAGCAACATTACAAACTACTAAGCAACTTGGGTAAAGGATAGATATTGTAACCCATTATCAGTTCAGCCTACCTCTCCATATTAAATTATAACTGAACACACTGAATTCTGTATTTTGTCCATATTTTTTTTAAGGCAGTGATCTACGGTTTTAGGTTGTCAATGATATTAGTATCATGAAAATTAAACAGATTATCAGATTTTACAAATCTTCATTCAAAACCATATCTTGAGGTTATCTTGAGACGATTTCGGGGCTTTAGTGTCCCCGCAGCCCAGTCCTCGACCAGGCCTCCACCCCCAGGAAGTAGCCCATGACAGCTGACTAACACCCAGGTACCTATTTTACTGCTAGGTAACAGGGGCATAGGGTGAAAGAAACTCTGCCCATTGTTTCTCGCCGGCGCCTGGGATCGAACCCAGGACCACAAGTCCAGCGTGGTGTCCACTCAGCCAATCGGCTCCCTATGTACCATGTACACAGTAGTCTTGCAGTTACCATGTTATGCATTTTATTAGTTTGTTTATAAAGATCAGTTGTACATTAAAATTGCTGTAAAAAGTAGTCATGTTAACACCTTCAGTTTTACTTTCTGTATAAATGGCACTTACAACAATATTAACTTTTATAAAATTTGACAACTTACCAAGTTCATAAAGGTTACCATCAACTTCTACCATGGCAATAAAGTGCTCATTCACCACAGCATCACGTTCGGGTGCCTGCAGAAAAAATGCAAGATTAATGTTACTGAAGTGTTATTCACGCAGAGACAGACACACACACATGGAGCATCACACTGAGGAGTCACTGCTGGAGGCTCCAGGAGAATTCAAATTATCTAAGTGTTGAGAGTAGGGTGGGGCTGCAAGTGGTGTCCCAGAATACATGAAGGTGTAGGGAATTTGTAAAGAAACTCAGATAAGAAATAAGTGTTAATGAATGAAAAATCTGTAGTAGAAAAGTTGATCTTTCAAAATAGCAGAATGTCAACAAAGATCACCACCACCACAGGGGAGGACAGTACCCCATCAGAGGAATATTTTGCAGGTTTCTCTCAAGATGCAATGAAAGGTGGTTTTCTTGGCAGGTTAGTGATTATTGAGGATATGCTAAAAAAATATGAAGAAAAGGTAATTAAATTAGAACAAGAAAATGAAGGTCTGAAAATTGAGTTTTGTAATTTAAAAGTAAGTATTTTCCAGCAAGGTAAGGAAATTAACAGCTTGACTGATAAGGTAAGGATGCAGGACACACACACATCAAGGAACTGGTAAAGGATAATGAGGCATGGAAAGTGAAGAGTAGGGAATTTGAAGAAATAAACAAGAAAATACTCATATGGTGAACAACTACCAAGGGAGCCTCAGGGCTAACATGGAGTTAGGCAAGGAGATGCAACAAGAAACATCACTGGCAACTCAAATAGAGGAGGCTAATAAAGAACTAGAAAAGTATAAAGAAATAATAAGCGACATATGCCCAAGTTGTAAAAGAGAGAGACGATTAAGGAAGTGTGTTTGGAAGTCAAAACAAGAAATGACAAACAAGAAGTGGATCTTAGGCAAGCAATTAGGAAAGAACTCGTTACCAACAGTAAACTGGTACAAAACACTGCAGATAGAAGTAAGTCCATAATAATTTTTGGATGTTTAGAGAAGGAAATTTCCTCTAGGGTAGACAGAGCAGCAGCAGAGATGAAAATCAGAAAAAATAGTAGGATTAGGAGAAGGCCTAAATTCAAAGGAGCATGTTTGAGAGGATGGTCTCAAGATTATCCCACAGCTAACTTGAATGGCTCATTGCAGTGCACAGTGCACCAATCTCGTGCACAAGCCCTATCTCTTAACCCTGAATAGTAATCTGTCATGTTGGGTGTCCCCAGGATGCCCACATAACCAGGAATACTTATAAAATACAGAGGCTGCCGTATGCCCTAGGGTAAATTAGATACAGGGAAGTTAAGCATACTTGCCACAGGGTCAGTGATTATATAGCTGGTGCCAGGCGTGAGAGAGAGAGGGGACGCCAGCGAGACAACAGATCTGACCTCTGGGGTCAGCCTCAACCGGCGCGATGGAGAATAACTGCGACGTGGTTGTGACGTGTTCATGATGTCAGCTCTGTTACTGATCATGGAACGATCAATATGATTGGTTCTCGCTCTTTTGCTGAAATGCCATTGGTCAATTGTAACCCCTTGTGTTTGTGCCCCACGAGGAGCCCTGCATTCTCTTTCAAGGGTATTCACGTGAGGAAGCCTGTACATAGAGGACGAGTCCTGTTCTGTCTATCGGCCAATAAACAAAAGAACACCATCTATTCCTCATCATCAAGTTAAACTAGACGTCTTTTCGATATACCAACGCTCGCCCGGAATCGCGATTGTGACTATATTGTTTAGAAGTCTAGTGACAAATCACCAGAGCGAAACAGATTGGTATCGGGTAACCCCTGGTGACAAATAGAGATCATCTGAGAGTGACCTAGAGTGAACTATGGTAGTGCCGCCGCCTAAGTAAATCTGCGAGTGACTTTTGGCACAGTGTACCACTTGGTACCATATAACCTGCAGCCGCCACTGTCCAGAGCGAGTAGCTAGCCGCCACCCGCCTTGCCTCGCTGTACTACGTGACGTCACTACCCTTACTCACCGCCAGTGTCACCAAGTGTGCGCGTGTGTGTGTGTGTTAGACATACAGCGCACGCCCTCCTGCGAGTACCCTCCGTGTCAAGTACAGTTTGTTGGGAAAGCCTGTCGTCAATGGTCTCATGTCAGAACGAGCAAAACCAGCTGTCAGGCCACCTACAAGTTCTTGCATAAATGTGCTCAACCGAGTAAGTGAAAAGGAGAGGTAGCCATACCCGTAAGTACAAGATCTTGTTTCTATATTATTGTTGTGTGTGTTGATCCGAGGGATCAACCACAGTTCTCGCCTTCTCATACCTGACACAGGTATACGCGAAGACACGTGAAGACACCTGACGGTGTATGCGTGTTTATCTGCGTGGTATCACATTACACTCGTCTGTGAATGTGAGTTTCACATACACCACACATTTAGTTAGTGTGTGATAAATATTGTGCATGATTATTGCCTGTCCCATTGACAGTGCCATTGTGATTTATTGTGCATCATCATTACCCGAGTATCCAGTTGGAACTCTTGTAACCCCTTTGCACACTGGCAGTTAGGTTTGCTGTGATAATGATAGGCGGTCAATTGTGTTAAGTTAGGCGTTTCTCCATGAGTGGATCCTGGTTGATACCTGGTTGATGGGGTTCTGGGAGTTGTTCTACTCCCCAAGCCCGGCCCAAGGCCAGGCTTGACTTGTGAGAGTTTGGTCCACCAGGCTCTTGCTTGGAGCGGCCTGCAGGCCCACATACCCACCACAGCCCAGTTAGTCCGGAATGTCTTTCAGAAAACAGTCTAGTTTTCTCTTGAAGATGTCCACAGTTGTTCCGGCAACACAGTACAACCTCGATTCAGCGTACTATATGGGACCAACCCCAGTTCGTTGGAGCGTTGGATTCGTTGCAAGAGGTGACCTTCAGGAGGCGTTTGTGTCTATCTTTTTCTTGTACACAATAAAAATGCATCATCATATTACATACTCTACCTATACATTACTTCTCTACTAAAAAATACTGTAATTCATTAATTTACCTTATTGTTGAAGTTATGTCCATCTTGAAGTTTTGGAAGTTGTGAATGCTCTACATTAAATACGTACTGCAGTGCATTATGCCGTTAGCACTGTGTTGATTAAAAGTAGTTCTGCTGTATGTCGAGTACTACAATACAGTTTATGAAAACTATTGTACACTAAAATTACTGCAACTTTAGTTTTAACACTGTGTACACTTAAATTTAACACTTGTTCTAACTGTTCATGCTGCACACGATGTTTTTAGATGTTTGCATCAGCTTTGCTGGTGCTTGCTGCTTCTGAGTTGGTGCTGGGCACGGCGGCTGTGCCCGTGCTGGGCACGGCTGTTCTCGTGCCCGTGCTGGGCACGGCTGTTCTCGTGCTGGGTACGGCTGTTCTCGTGCTGGTTGATTTTCTGCTACTAGTTCTTGCAAAATATTGCTTCATTTTTGGCATTAATAAGGCACTATTAGTAAGCCCCTGAGACATTTTGTTTTATAACCTAAGAGCTGTAGTAAAAAAATGGTCAATTCCACGATTATTCTTCCACCGGCGGATAAATACTGTACGTCAATCGCAGACAAAGCTAAGGGCACTGGGTGCATACTGTACGAACGCAGATTAAGTCTATACGTACACCCTTCAGTAGGCTGGTGTTTAAGCCTGATCCAGTAACAAATTTCTCTTAAATATTCGATTTACATCAAATTATATATTTTTGGGTTATATATTTAGTTTAGCAACATTATTACGATAATAAGAGCTATAAAAAATACTTATTTTGGAACTGATTTATTAATTTTATTATTTCGAAGCCGTAGGTCACTGAACTGTGGCGACGAAATCGAACAAAACACTGCCTGGTATTGTGTTCGATTTCCAGTAACATATTTCTCTCAAATATTCAATTTACATCAAATTATATATTTTTGGGTTACATATTTAGTTTAGCAACATTATTACGATAAGAGCTATAAAAAATACTTACTTTGGAACCGATTTATTAATTTTATTATTTCGAAGCCGTAGATCGCTGAACTGTGGCGATGAAATCGAACACAACAAGCATGGTGTTGTATGGACAGGGATTAGACCTGTCCACTCGTGCTATAGTTGTGCTGCCAATAACGTGAATAATTTCTCAAATGGGAGATATCTATCTTATTACAGTATATTTTTGGTTTTATTTAGTTTAGTTTAATTAGGATAATAAAGAGTTATTAAAACACCAGTTTTAGAAATGATTAATGTGAAACGTTCAAAGCCATGGGTCACTGAACTATGACAACACACACGAAAGTGAGTGAAACCTCACTGTAAAGCGAGGTTTACTGTACAGTATTCCCTTAACAGTGAGGTTTACTGTACAGTATTCCCTTAACAGTGAGGTTTACTGTACAGTATTCCCTTAACAGTGAGGTTTACTGTACAGTATTCCCTTAACAGTGAGGTTTACTGTACAGTATTCCCTTAACAGTGAGGTTTACTGTACAGTATTCCCTTATCTGTCCACCCTCACTCGTCTTGTTTCATCACAGAAAATGTATATAAGAAGATTTCAACATATTAGCTAGGTATTCACGCTTCAGCCTTTAAATTAATTTACAAAGATACGTGTGCCACAAATCGGTGAACGAAAATCTTTGAAACTCAGTCGTTCACTTGTGTTGACGACTCTGGCTGGTGTTTGGTTAATATGCGTCACTTCTTGTGGACCATTCTGGCTGGTGTTTGGTTCATATGATTCACTTTTTGTGTGGTCCACTTGTGTGATCCAACTTGTCTTATGAAGGAATTATTAATTGTAATCTGTGATAGAATGAGACGGTTTCTCACCACTCTGTGAACTCTGTCCCAACATCGTAAGCTTGTGGACCACCTTGTGTGGGACCACCTTGTGTGGGACCACCTTGTGTGGGACCACCTTGTGTGGGACCACCTTGTGTGGGACCACCTTGTGTGGGACCACCTTGTGTGGGACCACCTTGTGTGGGACCACCTTGTGTGGGACCACCTTGTGTGGGACCACCTTGTGTGGGACCACCTTGTGTGGGACCACCTTGTGTGGGAC